CGTCGGCATCTCTGAAGGCATCTGTCAGCATGGCTGAAAACATGACTGAACAGGGTGGGAGCAAGGACACAGCATTGTCTCACTCCGGTTGTGACAGGGAAGGGATCAGAGGCCTCTCCGTTGTCCTGGACTCTTGCAAGCATCCGTACTTCACCATGATTCTCCAAAGACCTTCTCTATTGACAGAATCGAAGGCCTTGGTCAGATCGTCAGATCAAAGTTGTTTCGGCGTCCATTGTTTCGTCAACAGAAACTTGTGGGAGTTTTTCTATGGCTTCTTCGTTGACGGTGGAATGCTGCTGTCAAAGTGTTCCGCCCACCTTACTAGGAGTTACTCTTTGTCAGTGATTAGCTTAGAGCCATCAGAACTGAGGAGTGGGGCCAGGGATCGAGATGCAGAAGGACCGTAGACTGCCTTCAAGCTTCATGCCGTAGAAATTCTTCATGTTGTTCCTGTGTGCAAAGCCCTGGATCTCATCTGCTTTGCTGCTCAACCAGCAATCCTGCATGTGGCGCAACTTCGCTTGAATGGTGCTCTTAATATTCATCAGTTTGTCCCTCTTGGACACGGATTTTGTGTCCTGAAGATGGGATTTGTACACCTTGTGTTTTTTTGTCTAGCAGCTGCTTAACCTCTATGCAGTTTTCATCAAACCAGTCCTTGTTTCTCCTGGAAGTTGGCCCAAAGTATTCCATGCCTGTGTTATACACTGTCTCACGAAGTGCGGCCCATGCTGTCTCAACATCCTGACCTTCCAGCACAGTGGAGTCTAAGCGTTCTTCCAGGCTATCGGCGAATGACTGCTTGGTGTTGCTGACCTTCAACTTGCTGATGTTCAGGCGTTTTGGCGCTTTCATACCTTGTGGCCGTCTCTTGGGTTGGACACGAAGCTTGAGTTTGGAGACGACGAGGCGGTGGTCTGCCCAGCACTCTGCGCCACACATGGTCTTTGTGACTAGTACGTCCTGCCTATCCCTCTTCCTCACGATGACGTAGTCAATCAGATGCCAAAGCTTTGAATGGGGGGTGCATCCATGTTGTCCTGTTACGGGTAGGGAGGTTGAAGACGGTGTTGGTGAGTAGAAGACCATGCTCGGCACAGGTAGACCGTTGCTGTTGCAGTTGCMGACTCCATGCTTCCCTATCACGCATTCCCAGGAGACGCTGTCACGGTTTACTCTCGCGTTAAAGTCACCAAGGATAATGAGTTTATCAGCGTTGGAAATAGCAGTGATGACAGTGTTCAAGTCTTCATACTAAAACTTGGTCTCATCTGCGTTGGTCATGGTGGGGGCATAGGCGCTGACAATGGTGACAAACTTCTGCCCACGGCAAAGGGGGGGTCTCAACGTCATAAGGCGATCATTCACACACTTTGGGGGCCAGCCAGCTTGCCAACTAGCGTAGTCTTGACTGCAAAACCAACTCCAGCGTCTCTTCATTCTTGAGGCCCACGTTCGATCAAAAGAAGATGTACCCTGCTCCTCTTTCACATTATTCACCTTCTCCTGATAGCCTTGTTTCGCTAAGCGCAGCRATGTCAACGTTGTATCTGGCAAAGTAATCCGTAATCCCATGGCAGGCCCTGGGCTTTGACATTATTTAATACAGGCACGACTAATATATGCGGGCTCCTTTTGTGAAATTATATAAACTATTTTTGTTCTTATTTCTATATATGACTCTTAGTTATAACATATAGTAGAGCTTACATCACAATACGATGCATATTTGAGATGTCATATTTACTGAAGTCACTTGAAACCCAAGAATAAAAGTGATTGACGACTCTTCATAATAGCCGACCGCTAATCCACATATTTCCATTAAATTCATTATGTTGACAAAAGAAAACACTCAGATGGTAGATATCAAAGCTGTAGATAAACTCTTAAAGATTGGAAGAAAAATATTAGATTCTCTTTGTATTCTCGTTATAAGGGTTAGAAGAGGCATAAAATCATGACATCGAGGCTACCAAGGTCACAGTRAAGAATTTCGTACGAATCCTTGTACTTTTTATTACCCCATAAGTTCGGTATAGTATTTAATCAATAGTATCTAGACTTTCCAGATAGTTCTTCAATATGATAGTGCTGAATGTGTCCATGATAYTGTCAGTTGTATTAAAAATAGTAAATAAAAATAATAGTATATAAAAATAGTATATAGAWTCATTTTTCCCTGTCTCGGAACAGCAGTATTGATCATGCCAAAAAAGACTTCCGATTCAAGGATTTTTTTACAATTTGACMAGATTGTGCCTTACGTTTATAGAAAAAGATCCTAAAATTTTAATCAAAATAAGACAATTTTCTGAAAAATCGAGTATTGTCAAAACAGCGTATATGTTAATTAGGTGAGGAGAAATAAACATGGCGTTTGTCAAATCGTTTTATTCCGCTGCGCAACAATGCCAATCACTAATTACTTTCATAAAATGTGATCCGAAGATATAATATAGGTAAATGATTGCTTTAGAAGTTGGTCAACTTTGTGGTCAATTGCTTTAAAGAAGTCAAAGTTATGAGTCGAACATCAAATAACAGATTTTGCATTTCGCAAATGATAAACCTTATTAACAACTTTTGCGTCATCGAAAATGGCTTTTTGACACATATTATCGTTCTATTACTCTGAATGTCCTCTGTCGCTTGAAACAATTCRACGCCATTTTGTTTGCCTTCGGGAGTTCCTTTCTAATTTCAGTAGTTTATCGGTAAATACCTTAAAGATGGAAAATGTGACAAAATCGCGTAAAAGGTTCTTTGATGCTGTGTGTGCAACCCCCAAAGTGAAAATTCACGAGTCACAATGAGTATGGTCAGATTATCTAGAATACGAGATTTTTAAAAGGCCTGTAGCTTACTTTCGACTGATGAAGATATCAGCGAATAAAGATTTGAAATATTTGGTTAATTTATATGGGACGCCATCTTGGATGATAACTTTGATCATCCAAGGTGGCGGCTGATTTCAAATTGACTTCAAAATCTCTGGTTTCCTCGTACACTTTGTTCAATTATGGCTATATTTCAAAGAAATATCACTTTGCTACTTGCATGAAAATGGCCTTATTTCAAAACTTCAAGCAAWACAAATATATGACTCACATATATCTATTAAAACCAATTGCGGGAAATATTTGTTTTGGAATTGTCCCACATCAGAAATTTTGATTCAAAAGATGGAAGAACAAAAGGATGGAGTAAATGACGTCAYCTACTCCAACATTTTTTGCCCAAATTATTAATATTATTATCAATATCTTCTTGAAATCTGTTGCTTCATGATTATTAGACCCATATGGATAGGTCTATTTGATTTCCAAGTCTTTTCTGATGTTTCGCAATTTTGGTCCAAGTAGCCCTTTAAGTAAGCTCTTACGGAGTTAAAAGAATGATTTATCGATCTCGACGTTTTTATTTACGATCTAAAAGTAGAATAAATTAAACTCCGTACAAACTAAAACTTTTGTGATTCGCCACCAAAGCGTTGAATTCGTCTRAAAATTTCYATACACACTATCTAGAARTATATTTAARMYATACTGTAAGAASAGCTCTTTAGCAAAAATATTTTGGATTTTTTTCTTGACTATGATGTCACATGCACACGAAGAATTGCAACACACTACTTTGGGCTACCTGTGTTAGCATTACTTATGAAGATGACGTATTTTGGGAACCACCTGTTCTAATTCGAAAGCGGATTCTGGAATGATGAAAAACGTATATTCTGTACCAATGTCATTCTTACTTATGACGCGATATGCGAGAGAGGATGTAACTTATCTTTTGGTCAATATTTGAATATGGTAACTCAATTATGTGCCAAGTTGAAATTGGTTATTCCGACAATCCGACATGCATGTTTGATTTCAAAGATGGTAATTCTAGTAATACTTCAAGTCTAACAAATGCATCGACAATTCCATCGCAAGGCAGCTGAATGGACATTGCCCTTTCCGATTTTGGTATTTTGCTATTAAGTTGYTGTAAGTCGAACAAGGTAAGATAAAAGCAATCGGGAAAATTGAACGTTCGTCAGGAATTTCGATTCAGCCGGTTCTACTTGGTCAGAAGTGAATACATGATTATTTGTATGTAATAAGGAATATGAAGTACGAATACTTTTTGCACATTAAATCGACTGTATCTATTCAGTTTTAAATTTTCTAAAAACCAGCGAAGGATTACAGTGATATGCAAATTATTCATGACTTGTACAGGAATCCAACGCTATGTACCAAGTAAAATAAGGCACATAAACTTTCACCAAACATGTGCTCCAACATAAAACAATACAGAATATATATTCCTYTTTTTCAATTGCAACCCAAAACCGAGAGAAATTGAGAAATACGGGTTTTGAGGTTTTATGTTTACCGTCGCTATTGAAATCTGATTTGTGCCTTAAAATTATCAGAAAGAAACAGGGATGTATTGAGCATGGATTGCAGAATTGTAGCATCAAATATTTCGCCTTGGATGGCTTTATCAATGATTGTGATATAGAAATTAGAAATACCTACTAAATGAATGTTACCCGTTAGAATACTTATAATTTCTCGAATTTTCAGACTCAGCATGAATTCTCATCTAATTGAATATGCTGCTCTCAAAGAACTCAGGCATGAAACTTGGATTTAGCTAAATTCGCTACCTAAATGAATGAATGAACGAATAAATCTAGATCTTAAAGCACGAGAAAAGAGACAGAGAATGGACAAACGGATGAAATATCTTCTAATGCTTAATTGTATTCCACATTTATATTAAATTGAAACTCTTCTTGGCAAACTTGAAAACGTAGCGATAAACTTTACAAAACTTCTGCTTGGCGATAAACCTTCCTTTGTGAAATTTTTGTATTAGAAGTTCCAAAATTCTTTGAAGTAGCCTTGTTCATTACTTTGATGAAGTTTATGGAAATGCTTTTTCTACCTCGGCCCATCGAAAAGATTAGTTCTAAGAGTATCAAAATGCTTAATAGTTACCTTTGATCCTTCGTTGCCATATTCGGGAAGCTCTTAAGGTTTTGCAAAGTTCCTCTTCTTGTACAAAGCCATGCAATTGAAACAATTCCATACCGACTCTAAATGAAGTTTTCAATATGTCTGACAATCGTTGATYAGTTTTTGGAAAATTGAAATACGTATTCAATGCAGCAATGATGAATCYTAGCTGTAAATGCAAGCGTCTATCATGCAGTCTTTTATTCCAATTATAATTAACAATTTATCAGCTTAGCTTTCACTTTGATTGGTTGTTCGTCGATATTCATAACCCTCACACAATTACAAAGACCTTATAGTTCAGCTTGCTATTGTCAGTCTCTTATTTCATGCAACGGTCAATGATTCTTGGGTGCTCTAGCGTTTCCTTAATAGGARTTGTCCGCACGTCACGAATATTTAAATTGCTRACTTCAATATTCAAATGTGGAGGGRACTTCAAAATGGCAAAATTGCACTGTAACCTATTCTAGTGACCTAGTATCAGTCTGGCCATTACAAGCTACTTTAAATTTTAATTTTCCATAAATATCGAAACACCTAACCCCTAAACTCATGAAGACGCTTCTGTCAATTGGATCCTCAGCAGTTTTACTTTTAGTTCACACCAAYAAAGTTATCCACCAACTGGTCATTTCTGATTACTAATGACTATGATTATGAATAGATGCGCCACTCTTTAAATGCCGATTCACCGATTTAATCTATTCGTATACACCCGCGCGGGCTTTTACAAGACATCCACCATGCAACTTCATACTTTGGCCCCTCTACTTTCATCAATACCATGGGTAGAAGGGTGCGAGTAATAAGTCAAACGTCATTAAAGTAAACTGTTATTTTCAAGGAGTTGAAATGACTCCACCAATGGAGTTGAAGCTACTCTACCTGGTGGAGTACTTTTAAAGAGAGTCGATGCGAGTAGTTTTTACTTCAAAGGTTTAGATCAAATCGGAAAGAGAGTCAAAATTACTCCTCCACATGCAATTAAATCCTTATTGAGCCTTAAACAACGTCATATAAAATGACATTTTTTTCTTGTCATTTCAGCTCAATGCSGAGGAAGAGCTTGCGAAGATCGTATTACCTGTCACATCATCCAACCTGCAACAAAGCCTCCAAAATGTACAAAATATGTCTCTTTATGGGTACAGGTAAAATATACTGGCCTCTTTTAGTTGACAACAATATCCACTTGGTGGAACACCGTGTCCAGGCTACGCTAATATATACTTTTACCAGTTCCGCGACCGATTTGATAGATTTTGCGTATGATCTTTTCACATTATTTTTTGAATATTTTTATCCTTGCAGCGAAAATTTAGCATTCAGATTGCATTAACATTATCCTCAGAGAATTTATAAGATGAAAGTTTCCAAAGAAAGAAAGAAAGAAAAAAAAATGTTAGAAGCTGCTCGAGTCGAGAATCGAACCCGAGACTGTCAGTTCAACGCCGCTATTCAAGTATAGTATGATYTTGAGTGTAAAATATGTAAAACAAATATCTACAGGAAAAATAAGAATAAGTATATTTCGGTAAAAAAAAGAAGAAAAGAAAAAAGAATCGATTAGAAGTTAGAAGTGATCGAGTCGAGAATCTAACCCGCGATCCTAAGTTCGATGCTTTTCGAGTACGATAGTTTGTGTAAAAATCAAAATAATGGTTCCAAAATAATTGTTTTAAAAACAAAATCTACAGAAAATGAGACAACTATAACAACTATATTATATTTAAAAAGAAAGAAGAGAAAAAAGTGCTCGAGACGAGATTCGAACCCGCGATCGTCTGTTCGACGCCGCCCGGCTGTTCGAGTATCATCTTGTTTCTAAAATTTAACAAACGCGGCTCGTCAGTGTTAATAAACGAATTGCTACGATAGAAATTTAACATGACTAGAACACTTATATCTCAGTTCAAAAAAGAAAGAAAAATAAAGAATTTCTCAGAAGTG